TGTTGAATTTTAATAGCACTATGTGAAAGAGCTGAGTGAAATCTCACTGAAGCTGCTGGACAAAATCATCACCTTTCATTCAAGATAAATGTAAGAAACAAGCAAACTCTTTCATGAAGCCTGATAACTGAAATTACAGAAGTTATCATCAAAAACAAGAGAAACATGAAGCATATGGACCCACGAGTTTCTCTAGAAACTGATATGCTTAATGCAGAGAGAGAGCATTAATCAAGGCAAGATGATTAATCCTGATAAGCAGCATAAATGTGTAAAAGGAATAAAGAAACCACCAGCACAGCTCAACAAACTAGCATTGTGATCCTGGTAGAAGAAAAGCTGAAAGAGAGGTTGGGGGTAAAACACTGGGTGAATGAGGTTTGGAAAATAGAAGTTATTGACTGTTATTTGATTCTGTCTTTGTTCAAGGAAATAAAACTCTGTTCTTTCTTTGTAAATAAAATGGAACTCTATCAAAGCAAAACCCTGTCCTGAGGATGAATTTTCTTTCCAGCTGAGAAGAAAACAACTCGCAGACCTGACAAATTGTTTAACCACTCAGGTAAAAATGGATTAATACCATGTGAGGACAGTCTTCCAGTTTTTGAGAAAGGGAATTGTGAGGTGGAATTCCCACTGAACAAGAATAGAATCAATGAAGGATGTATTTCTCAGAAATAGTAATTGGTAAAAGATGAAAACAAGACCAGATAAAATTAAAAGAAGACTTAAATCAGCTGGAGGCTTTTCAAAATTAATTAAAGTAGTGACTGGAAAATTTCCAGAGTGGTCCAAGAGATGACAAGCGGGTAGAGATGAAATCTCTGCTTGAGCCGCAAACACAGAGCATCCAGACAGATTAAGAAGCCCCGTGGCAAAACAGATCAATGAGATGACTGACAACACAACTCCTGCAGGCTAGAAAGTTTTCAAAGAAATAGGTAAGCCAGGAAAGTTGGAAACTAACTTGGCACTTGCTGACTTAGAGAAGCTATGCCAAGAATCTAAGGAGCTGGGGAAGTAAACCAGAGGGACACAGATAACTGTGGAGGTTTTTTGCCATTAGAACAGTCAGTATAAGACTATTGCCTTTCTATCATTATTTTTCTTACAACACATACAAATTCAAACACCATTTGAAAATAACCAATATCCAGGCATTTGGACCATCTCCAGCTCAAACACTGTGCCTTTGAAAGAAAAACGTCTCTCAAGCTGATCTCTCAGGTCAGCTTGGAAACCCAAACGAATAGAAAGCTTTACAGAAAATTTTGAGACTGATGGCCAACTCTAGTGGCTCAAGTTAAATGGTACTGAAGAACGATACCTGCTCTTCTCCACCGTACCAAAAAGACTTATCTTCCAAGAAGTGGTCACGAGTGAGATCAGTGGAGCTGGCGCCTCTCAATCCCATAGTGGTACTAGGCTTGGATCACACAGAATTCACAGAATCACCAGGTTGGAAGAGACCTTAAAGATCATCAAGTCCAACCCAGCCCTAACACCTCAACTAAACCATAGCATTGAATGCCACATCCAGGCTTTTTATAAACACATCCAGGGATGGCGACTCCACCACATCTCTGGGCAAACCATTCCAGTAATTTATCATCCTCTCTGTAAAAAACTTTTTCCTAATATCCAACGTATATTTCTCTTGGTGCAGCTTAAGACTTTGCCTGTACTAAGAATGCTAAACTACATGAGCCTGGACCAAGCACCATCAATGTTGTATGAAAAAGCTCTGCCTAGTTGGAGAAAGCAAAGGCACTGAGCAAACCATGATCTTTGCTTGGATCTGGGCAACTTGAATACAGTAAATGGGAATTTGTTTGCTAAGTGTCTAACAGCACTTGCACTAAAATACTGGGCACTGGATCAACATAACAGGTTTTAGAGGGGCCTGCCAGTAAAACTAGAAAAAAAGATTGTCCAAAACTAAATTATCTGTTTGGTAAAACCTACAAAGTATTGTGACATTCCATAAATCCATTCATAGCAGGCCAGACTGCTTCCTACTGTGGAGGTAGTCACTGACTGGTGGGAGAATATAACAAAAGCTTAAGAGAAAGCTGGTTTAGAAACTATATCTGGAATAAGAGCATGAAATGCAGACAATCAGCAGAGATCAGAAGCAGTTTGGATTTCATTGTGGATATCAGATGTCTTGTGAATGCCAAGAAAGTTGCCTTACATTTGCAAGTAAAACAAATGCTCTGTAGACAAGAGTTTTCTAGAAGTCAGCTTGAAAAGCCTTCAGGAGTGGAAACAATTACAACATGTTCTTGCTGGGGCAACCTTTCAGCCAAGACACAACACAGTGGCTGATGCTCACTGTGCACTCTGACTGTTGGGAATCTCAGCCAAATCTCTGCAAAAATAGGAAGCAATACATCCAGTAAATATTGCCATGGAAGGTGATGTCAAGCTCCAAGAATTTCTGATGGACTTGCTAAAGCATGACATTGTGCATTTAGACAAGGAATAGTAGAACAGCCCCAGATCTCTCTGGAGTCAGTCGCTCTTCTCACTATCAGTCAGAAAACTGCTTCACTGAGCACAAAAAGGGAAAAACAGCAATGCAACTCTGCAACAGCTGGCATTAAGTGGAGGAGGGAGAGGGAGGAGAACCACTGAGAAGATGTACCAAGGATGAATAATTGAATCATTAAACAATCCCTGGTGGCAGCATCATGGAAGCACCATAAACTACAGAAAACTGTACTCAAGTAAATCTCAACTGATTGTGCCCTGACAGCAGTTAAGATTATTTTCCATAGCAAGTTTAGATTTCCTATGCTTTACATTAAAATAGGCACAATTAGGTGAAAACAGAAATTAACTTTTCTTCTGCAACTGCGCATAAACTGCAAAACCTTCAAGCCATGGCTTTTGACTTGTACACTGGATCTTCTTCATTTCTGTGGTTGTGGATGCAGTGTTTGGCAAGGAGCTCCTCTCTCTTGGCCTGTTTATTATATCTGGTTGATACCCTGGGCTGTGTAAAAGGTTTGGGACAAGAACTGGCACATTGAATTGTGATCAGCAGGAAGTTTAAGAAAAGTGGGTCATGGACCAAACCAGGACACTGGCACAGGTAGACTGTTATGTTGAAGTGACAGACATCATCAAAACAAACGTCAAAAACCACCTTTTCTATGAAACCTAACAGAAGAAATAGTAAAAGAGCATCACACCAGAAATGCACACAAGCACACTCAAACCAAGGCTGAACCATGGCTCCCAAACATCTTTTGAGGAGATGTTTACAGCAAATCTGGTGGGGAGCTGGAGTGAACTTTCACTGATGGAACACTGGAAGAGAAATAGCAAAAAGAGCAGAAGGAAAGTGAAGACTCTTCCACACAACATAGCATGAGGAAAGAAAGTAAAGAAAGAGATTTTTGAAGTATGAAGTAGAATGAAGAAGATTGCACCACAGAACAAAGAAACAAAGTTGTAGTCTCTGTGACCATGCAAATGGGGTGCCTAACTTCGAACTGATGTGGGAGAAGAACAAAAGATATCCTTCATACTATGCTTCAATGCTTGAATTAATTCTGATTTCTGCAAGGCTTACTCAAAGTGGGCTTCTTAAATGCCATATTTAAAAATGAGAACATATATTCTTCAATGTGTAAAGGGGAATTTTCAGGTCAAAGTACACACAATGTAGATGTACAAATATGAAAAAAACAAATAATTAAAAACCTGTGCCATAAAAATCATAAAATGTAATTAAAGAATAGCTAACATACTATTTGATTTTGCATATGTAACTAAACAAATACATTTTCAAGTATTATGTCTGCTAGAATGAACCCATGTGTCAAGCAAAAAATATCAGTCTTCTCAATTCTAGCTAATTACCAAACAATGAGGACAAAAATCACAAGATCCTTGAAAATTTAAGCCAGACCAAAAGCTCACCTGACTTCAAGAAGAAAGCATTTGCTCTGCCCTTCTAGAAAACAGTCCCAAAATATCTTGGTCTGAGCACTTCAATATTCACGCACCCAAAATTCAATAACTTTTTTGACAATGTCCTGATTACTCATCAGAAAAATCGTGACATGAAAAGAGTCTTCAATAGGGATCAGTTAATAATTTCTAAGGATAGGTCAAGTGATGCAGATGAAGAGCTGATTTCAACAGATGCAAGCTCCTAAAATACAATGACACTTCTGAAATTGTCACACAGACAGTCTCTTATCTTCAGAACAAAAACTTCTAAATTCATAATGCAAAACAAAAAATAAAAGCATATGTTCATGTTGATAATAAGCCCCAGCTGGCCTCCTCCCCAGACAGCTTCTGTAAACTTTCAGACACAGTTCTGTACTTCCAAAGGAATATCTAACACTCGTATCCATCACACCATCACACACATCTACCCTGGCAATATGTGTTGGTCCAAACCTGAGAGCTGCACCAGCACTGAAACACCTGCATGTAAAGTAAAATCCTAACTGTGCCTCAAGAACTACTTCATTTAGCCCCAATGCTGCAAAGAATTCTGCCCCTACTTAAATTTATGCAGCTGGGTCCTAACTGCCTGTGGCAGGGGAAATGCATAAGGATTGAAGCATATTGGAGAACTGGGACATGTGTGGAATAGATTTCAATGGAAAATTCATGGTGCTTGGTGTTAGGTCCTTTCCAATCTCAAAAATGACAACGAATTCTGGCTACACTCTTCAGAACTTCTGAAAATCACTGAATCCCTGGCAGTAATTTAGTTACAGAGACCAGGCACTAAAATAGGAATACTTTGCCCAGAGGTTCTCAGGATAATTCTCAGATAAACTATTCCTTAGCAGGGCTTGTATTACATATAGATGTCTTGAATATCCATGTACTAGATTTTAAAAAGGCATGTGAATTGAGGTTATTCCACCTACAGTGACTCAAGCACAACATACTTATACACAAATTACATTTCAAGAAGCACAGGAAAACTTGTGACATAAATTCAGTTTTCAAAAAGATCTTTAACTTACCTGCCAGAAGTCAGCAACAGTAGCAGGGAGAGGGCCCTGGGTGGCAATATATGCAGGGTTTCGGGGGTCATGGTCCATCTGGAATAAGGAAGAAGAACACACACTGGGTTTATTTTAAGGAAATCCCTTGGAGTTTTAGAGACAGAAAGTATTTGAGGGCAGAACAAGGGACTTCCTGAAGGACTGCCATGTCCTTCCACCCTTTATTGGCAAGCAAAGTGTTTTATTTCTATTTGTAAGCTCAGAGAATTTTCCCCTAAAAGACTGATGACACCAGAGGTGATGAGCAATGTCCCATGTCCTCAACATGCAGAGAAAGATCATTTATGGTGGCTGACAAAGGCATTTATTTGAGATCAGTACTTGTGGTTTCATAGCAACCTAGGAGCCTTTTGAAACATTTTTCTACACTGAATGTTAAGAATGCTCCACACATCTAAATATGTCCTCCATTTCCACCATGCCAGTCAAGGGCACATGTAACTAAAAACCAGCAAAAATGGGGAACAAATTCAGTTTCTGGCTTTTTCTGGTTAGCTGATTTATCTAAATGCATGGATTTGGCCTCAATGGAGGAAGTTCTGCTTAAAGACCTTAATTATTACGTTTAATTCAAGGAGCAGAAAATTCACTGAGCAGAAAAAATAAAGAATCTAAGAAACAAAGCCATCAGGAGTAAATAGGATTAGTGTGTTACAATGAATGTTTTCGAACTGATGGGTGGTTTTCTTGGTTCTAAATCTTAGGACCCATTCTGCTGAAAAAGAAGATCTGCTGATAGGATTAAAAAACAAACAAACTCATTCTAACCCTGAACTGGGCAGGAAAAAACTTTGAACATAAGAAAAGAGACCCATTTCAGCTCTGAGATGTGTGGGTGTGCCTCGGTGACACTGAAGTCGGTGAGAGTTAACTTATACCCATGTAGCTGAAGGCAGAATTTGTCTCAATACACAGCTCTGTCCTATAAGTAAAGATCTGAATAAGAATGAATGTGAGTCACATTAACAGGCATCTCCTGAATATATTCATAGCCTATCAAAATCTTCAGTGATGGTACATGTCAGTGTAAAAAAGGCACCTCATAATTATGTGCAACATAAAAGAGGGAAGAACCATAAAAGAACAGATGTAAGTTATTCTAACAGAACAACAATATGATGAATGTTGCAAAAATGAAGAGAACACTTTTATGTTTCTAATTTTCTGATGTATAATTAAGCTGGACTTAATATTAAAATTCTCCATGACAACACAACACAGGTAAAAGTCACTGAATCAATTTAGACTAAAAGCTTACTTCTGATTCACCACCCATAGTTACACAAAAAACTTGACCAGGATGTCTATAAGAGCATCATTTTATTCCAAGTTTCATTGGGATGCTTCTCTTATCAGACAGTAAATCTTCCCAACAAGCAATTGCTCACAAGAAGTTTCAACCTTGCTTTCTTTGCCTTTTGAAAAAAGCAATTCTGATAGCAGGACATTTACTGTTGTGGGTATTTTGAGACCAAGAAAAACTAGCTTTCTTCAAAAATCAGTATTAACAAAAAAGCCCTCAGGAAACATTTCAAAAGGAGCAACTTTTTTTTTGGTTTTGTTTTGCTTTGTTTTGTAAGAATTAAGACACTGAACTGAACACAGCTGAAAACAACAGCAAATGTGATCAAGCAAAGTCAAGCTTAAAAGCAGAGGTTTTTTTTATTCTCCATTACAGTTGAAATGATTTCTTGTGTTTTTTTTTTTTGCTTTGTTTTGTTTTGGTTTTTTTTTTTTTTTGGAATCCCAAAGATCTACAAGATTTAAATTTGTGGTGAAATGATTTCCTATGCTGGAACTAAAAATCTTAACTTAGAAAAACTGACCTACACCAAGGAGGATGTGCTACTCTCAGTGGAAATTTTTGTGGGCTGTATCCACTCAAAAATGATGTAATTTCTCCACAGGCTAGAGCTTTGCTTGAAATGTAACCAACAGTAAATACACCAAACTTTAGAAAAAATATAATTCATTTCGAATTCTTCTAAATGATTTTTTTTTCAAATGTAGACATGCCAGAAAACAAAGGCAGAAGAAATCAAGGATGATGCAAATAGTGCTGTCATGGAGGAAATACATCTCAACATTCAGCTGATAAATCAGGAATAGGCCAATCTTGGCATTTCAGCATTAATCAACCTCTGTCACAAAGGTGCTGTTGGAACGTGGCAAACATTACAATAAGCACAGAGTGGTGAAGTATATCAGCAGTTTAACAATAATTCAAAAGACAATTACAATTATTACATTCCAAGCACATTGTGTTGCACAAAAAACAATTATGAGCAGAAACTCTTCTTGCTTGGAGCAAATAGAAAATGGCAGAAAATGCTATCACACTATTAATGATCTTTAACTGAACGAAAATAAGAGCAAAGTTTAAACTAATTAAATGAAATTCCTGGTTTCATCAATTTTGTATTACATGCACTGTTTAAAAGACCATGTATTTCAAGAAAAGCATGAAAAATCCCTAGTCTGGTCACATTCAATTTAATATGAGTAGGTGATGGCAAGGGACAGTTCTTGAATGTTTTTGCTTTGTTCTTTTCTATTCTCTCAAGGTCAGCAAGACCACCAAGGGCATCTTAATCTATCAAAGTTAACAGAAGTTTGAATAAAGAAATAAAGTCAGTAATGGGTTTTAAACTAACTAATCAAGGATCCAGTAAAAGACTTTTTTTTTAATGTCAGTACTCATTATCTTCTTTCAAGGATCCCTCAGATTTCTCACTTCATGAAAATAAAATAGAAAATGTATTCTCCAGAGGAGAATGGAGAACTCCAGACTCCATACAATCAAGTATTAAAACAAAAATTGATTGTTTGCTAACATTTTACATCAGAACAACCTTCAGAAATCACCCTAATAGTAACTGTTCAAAAAGAACATGATTTTTCCCTCTATTTCCCCATCAAAGCACCAAGTTCACAAGGCTTACATCAGAATGGGATCGAACAGCCATTGTTGGAAAGAAAAACCTACAATTATTGCAGCTGTTCTGCTATGGTGGAATTCTCATTTTCTGCTGCAGTACAGCAAAGACAAGTCTGGTGATAATGTTTCAATCTATTTTTTCATGATTTTATATTAGGGGTCAAGTATTTCTATAATGGGCCATGCAATTGATTGTACTGATTTCCATCACTACTAGTACCAAAAGCAAAAGAAAAGAAAAATGAGGAGCAGTGAGATTTCTTCTTGGAAAAGAAAAACTAGAGAAAACTTTAGTGGCACAACTTTTGTTTTCCTAAAGGGTTTTGTAGTATAAACTGACTTATAGTACCCTAAAGTAGGAAAATATATGAAGAACATTATCACAACTGGTTGCATCTTGTTAACATCAGACAAGGATTCCACCTTTGCTTTACTGCAGAATAAAAGCTGTTTTTTCCCTCAAGAGTTCTATTATCCAGCTGTCTTATTCTAGGACTTCGCAAGAATTCCCCAAAGAATGCTGAGTTTTGTTGAATTTGTGATAGAGATTGTGCTGCTGCACGATTTCACTGATAATGCTGATGAAATACAGAAAAATCAATACATTGTGGAAGTAAATCCTTGAGAGTGGTACATGTAGATTCTTGTTAAGCAGTCTTGTAAAACTGCAAACTGAAGTAAAAGTGCCAATAGGCATCAATGGCCATTTTGAAATTTCATGTAAATGATAATACTGATGAATTCCTTCCCTTTACCTTCCCTTTCAGCTTGTCAGATCTTTGATTTCCACAGAGAAGGATGCTGGGTGAGATGTGGTCTCAGTCACATCATATTTACCATATTTACCTTCACTTAAAACCTCTGAGTCCATCTGATATATTCCTAAATCATGAGATCAGAATGAAATCCAGTGTAGACCAAATATAACAGAAAGGAAGTTGAAATCTGATTATCGCCTTAAAAATTTGTATGGATTCAAGCTTCTGTGTGGTTTCCAGACTTGATGTGTTTACAACATCAAGAAAATCTACTTCCATACATATATTTATTACACAAAATATAGGCAGTCTTTAAAGAAGAAGTGTATTTGTTTTTGCAAAAGAAAGCATATCCAGCAAATGCAGATGAACTTTGTAATCATTCACCTCAGCATTAAAATTAAAAAGGTAGACTAGTCCTCATCTTCATGTTTGAATTAAAATTTAAAACAATTTTTTAATTCCTTCCTTTTAAGCCCCTAATGGAATGAAAGAAGCAAATCTGGTTGCCTATGCCATTATGAATTTCAGAGTCTATTCTTGCTGATGAAATTTGTATGCTGTATTTGAACAAACTGTCATGCTAATGACATTCCTCAGTCTGGTGTCTTCAATAATAAGCAAACTGAGTTTTTAAATGTAGTTGATGGGATTTTTTCCCTCTCAGACACCCTATGAGGAAAAACAGAATTTCCCATTTACTTTCATGACCTCTGATTTAAAAGCAAAGATTGCACATTATTTACTACTGGATGATTTTCCTGAAATTTAATGAGGACTAAGTACAAATATGACAGAAGTAATTATCACAGTTTTATTCTGCACAGTCAGGGTCTCCTTGTGCTGTAATTGCAAGCCTTTCATTCAGCTGCCGATACCAGAGTTATTATCATAGTACTTTATGTTATTTCAGAGAGGAGGGAAACAGATTTCTACCTCACTTTTACCCTGCAAATTTATCCCAAGGACTCATTTTGCCTGGCCTCATGCTACAGCTAAATAAAAGACATATGGGAAGAATTTGGACTAAATCTTTCCTGATTCTCTTCACCCAGCTGCAGTGGGGCCACCAATATAACCCCAGTTTTCACATCCTACTGTGAAGTATTGAGGTATTGAGGGGGGGCAGCATTTTTTCAAAGGAAGAAACATGTGGGCAGGTGGCCAGCTCATTGTCTAGCACGGGGATTTTTTTACGGTGTGCTGCTGCACTCATTTAGACTTCAGTGAAGGTTGAGTGAGCCCCAGCTGGAGACTGGACCACTGACCCAGAAGCTGGAGATACCCAGCAACATGTATGGGACTGGCAGCCTCCCTCTCTGAAGCTCAAAGAGAATTACTTTATTTTCCACTCTTCCTGCACCAGACAGCTCCCACACACAGGGAGGAAAAAGCCTCTTGCAGTCAGTTCATCCTGTACTGATCCTGTGCTATCAATGCCCATCTCACAACACTGCTCACTCCTCACCCAGGCTCTGCAAGGAGCAAATGCACCAGGAGCATCACTGTATTGACAGGATAATTAGTGAGGTTATGGAAGTTGAAAGAGTCTGAAGGAAAGAAATGGTAGGATTTTTGCAAGAGTGAGTGAAAGCAGTTGTGCTGATACTCCACATCCACTGTGTGCTCTCATGGACACTCACTAAATGTGTGCCTGCTACCAGGAAAGATCTCGAGTAAACAGCAGCAGAAATAGCACAAATGTCCAACTTAGGCTTCACTAGCTGTATAAACACAGTAAATATTGCAGAATCAAGTGCCCAATTCAATATTGCAGTGGGCATTTGAAGGGGGGAGAACAGCGACTGAATATCTCTGCCACTTCTATATTCAACCTCATTATACAAAAACTACACCAGATTAACAAATATGTTAACACTAATCTGAAGATATTTAATTTGGCTCAAAATTCAGCAGTTTGCAGGGAATCCTTCCAGACTATGGGCTTGCAAAGCAGGGATTTCCTCCTATCAGCCCCCCATTGTATCACCTCCAGGAAACACATTTTGACCTATTGCTTTCCAAACAGCAAAATGACTACTGGTTTAGTGGGGTGAACTCATGTAACTAACTGGAGCATCTCTTTCCTTGGAATAGCAGGTCTACACAAATATCAGCTGTGGCACTCTCTCCTCACACTAGGGTCTCTATCCTACCAGAAAGAAGAGGAACTTGAAATTTTTTCTTGGCAGTTTTTCTTGGCTAGGCAAGTTACTGGGCACTAATCCCAATCTAATGAAACACTTGTGAACCCACTTATTTCTGGGCATAGAAGTATTTCTGTAAGAGATACAAAGACAGCCATAAGAATTTTTGGTTCATCAGTGTGACTTGTTGTATTGAACAGAACTCTTGAGTCTGGGAAAACGACAAAAAAATAAATATGGTTCTAACCCTGGAGAAGGACCCTTATTAAGAGCTGGATGGAAAGGCAAGATTACAACCCTTTGTAAAAACACAAGAGGTAAAGCTGTGGGAGCAGGGACCCTGTGGTTGCATGAGCCTTGGGAATCTTGATAAAGCAAACCTCTTCCCAGTTTTGTCAGTGGGATATCCTAGTCTTGTTTCTTCATTTAAAACATTACTTAATCTAATGCTTTACTCTTCAGTGGTATTAAAGAAACAGTTACACTATAATCCAAAACTACAATTGCAACAGACACACACACACAAGAATTTACCCCCCTCTCCAGCTGAAATCGTGTACTAAAATAGCTAAACTCTGTCTACACAGACTTTTGGGCAGGTTGCAGAAGCCCATTTTTTCAGTAAAAACCCAGCAGTTGTACTGGCGTCAACACTGAACCTGCCTTAGCACCGTCTACAGATGCTGTAATTCCACTTTGCTACCACGTTGCTGCCATGTGAGTTACAACCAAGCTCCTACAAGAATACAATATCTCACTTCCAGTTATCACCTCCCACTCCCGTCCTTCCCACAAAACCTCTCAGTTTCTACTATCAGATGAAGGCTTGACCAAACATAACTCACCAGCTGGGTCCTGAAGACACAGGCAGAGCACTGAGGCCCTGGAGCTGGGCAGGATGGATATTCCTTGGAACACGACCTACTGTGATCCCCAGATCCTGCTGCCCAACAGAGCTTGGTCTAGTCAGAGACACACCTAAAACCAGCCTAAAATCTCCAATCTGTGCCTATCTACCCTTGTCCTCTGAAATGGAACTGGCAATCCCTCAACATGCAGGTGCTTTGGTTTCCCCTCTAACCTAAGCCAAAGACAAAAATATCCCAAAGGTGTTTTTTGGCTTCTGTGTGTTTTTGACTCTTTGAATAAAGTGCTTTTATGTGTTGAAGGAAATGAAGCTTTGAACTCTGCTGAAAGAAAGATCAGGGAACACTTTTTATGTAGCTGTTGGGTTTTTTTCATAAAAGAAAAAAGTATTGTCAACAACATTGGAAGGATGCAGCCTGTAATTTCATGCTGTTGCAAATTGTCAGCTGCCTTGCCCACACAAAGTCATTTAACTGGGGGAGTGATACTCCCCAGGAAAATGAGCCAGTAATGGCAAATACAGCCCACTGCAGTGAGATCTTATTCTCCATCCTAAGCTCTTTCTCACAGTTGCCCTATAATAACTTTTTGGTGGCTAATTAATGTGAATAAGAACTGTGAGAAAAAGTGACTGCCACACCAGCAGTCCCACAAGGTCAAGGACACAGTGCCTTTTTCCCCCTTCACTTGGAGATCCTGACACTTCCTTGAGATGCTATGACAGGGCAATGCCACTGGAATGACTGTACCTGTTCCGTGTCTGCAAATAGAGACCTTTTCTCCCTATCACCTTTCATGGACAAGAAAAGGATTCGCATTCAGCTCACACAGTCATGGGAAATGGCAGCTGGGCAACACTGGAGTATCTGGACCCAACAACTGGACTGACCTACTTTGCAGTTGGAATGAATGTACAGGGGCTAGGGGATCCTCTTCTTGCTTTCCAAACAGAAAGAGCATGGAAGAACAAGGAGAGCTACAGAAACACCAGACTGTGCTTCCCTAGGTCAACAGAATAAGAAAGTAAGAGGAAATGTCACTTCCTAATGCAGAAGAAGCTCAGAAGTCTGTGAACTCAGCCCTCCATGCCTACAGAAACCATTCCTCCGACTGTAGCTGGCAGGACAATGCAAAAAAGAACAAGCTATTTTTTCCTCTCAGGAGAAGGAAAAGCTCTAGTAAAATAAAGCATTGAATTTTATAATCTGTAAATTAATAAAATCTAATATCAAGTACAGAAAACTGACAGTATTACAAGGTGGAATGAGGGTTATCTGGTGACTTTTTCTTAGTAAATAAACATCAAGTGTATTGCATACATATACATTTCTCTTCAATTTAAAGGACAGGCTGAAGCACCAGCACTGTGAGGTGCTCACAACCTGAGATTAACAGTGAGGTCCCTGGAGTGACCCTATTTTGACAACAAGGAATGACAAGGATCAACTATTTGGAATACTTCTCATAGGTTACGATACTTACAATGGGACTGGCGTTGATGTAGTCTGAATTGTCGTGGCTACTTTCACCCTTCAGACATATCCTGGAATGGTCATCTGCAAAGAACAAAACAAGAGAAGAAAGTTTATATTCCAGTATTCCACCCATTTTATGTTAGACAATTCAGAGTCACATTAATGTGCTTTCCAAGACAGGAAGATAGCAGAAAGGATATTTCCTTCTGACTCCCAGCTTAGCCATCGGGTTGATACAGCCACAGTACCACAGCCTGACTCAGGCATGAAACAATGGGATATTCCAGAAGCTCAGTATCATAAAACCTGTCTTCATGAGATGCTCTCTGATGTGCTACAACCTCTCATAAGAAAAAAAGAGAATCTCTTCTGTTCAGGAAGTTTAAGATTTAAACTAGGCAAACCACTAAAATCACTAAGACCCCCCAGTATTATAACAAACATTCCTGTGCTTGCCAGGTCATGGAAGAGGGAAGCTGATGGGACTTTGTCCACCTGGCTTCTCTAAAATATGAGCAGCAGGGACATGGAAGTACAGCTGAGAGCTGGACAGTAAATTAATCTGTCCTGGTCAAAGACCAGTGCTGTGTGGTGTTCACTAGTGATGTGGGGAGACAATCTGACTTGGAGATGACCATGGAAGAGACAAAATGCCAACAATTTGACTTAAAGTACAACTGGAGCACACAGAAACATCTTACACCAGTAAAGAAAACAGCAGTTCTGGACATAGGAGACTCACTCCTGTTGTTTGCCCATGTTCACAATTACTTTATCACTTTTTAACTTGTAATTTTACTGGTGCTAGCTCAATTATATTTAAAGCTGGTATGTCCCAAACTCTAGTCTTTTTAGTCTTTTTTTAAAAATTATTTCTACATCAGAACACATATAATGGATGGGTTTTATTTGTCTGTACTCAGGCAGAGACAATGCAGATATCTGCATCTCTTCCCATCATCCAAACTCGCTTTCTGTTATGAGAAAAGAAATGTTTCTATGTGATGAATCATTTCATCCTGATTTAGCTGTCACAAACAGGCCAAATTGTGTTCAAGAAATGCCATTTCTTTCTACTGACTAAAGAAAGAAAGCCCAGACCCAGCTCAGATAATTTTAGAGATGTCTAAGTCTACATATGAATCCCAAACAACTTGTACCTGATATATAAGCAGCACAATTTATACTCCTCAGGAAACCTACCCTGCACAGTATATGGTAGAAAGAGGTTGTGGAGTTGCCCCTTCTGTAACCCTCTACAGCTGAACACAGACAGTGATGTTTTGAGAGGACTGAGGATCTTTCCACTGATTTTTCAAATAGACAAAGTGAGAGCACATTGTCTGGTGGCCTGAGACACCACTCAACAGCAGGATTCCAAGTTGGCTGTTAAGTACCAATCATTATTTTAATAATGAGGAATAATAAACGAATTATCAAACATTCTAAGGACCATACAGGAAGGTAGAGACAGAGAGTTTGGGCTCTGCTTAGGCTTATTTAACAGCAATGCCATGGCAGTTCAGTAGATGAGCAAGACAAAGGGATGTTTGTAAGAGTGTTGTTTATAGTCACTCAATCTCACCCAACAGTGTCAGCAATCTTCTCCTGGAATAAGATTAGTGATGAACAAGTCACGTCAAATAACTGAAGAGATATTCTTTACTATTCACATAAACTTACTTTCCCTGCTAAGGTTTGAGGATGAAGAAGAGAAGAAAGGGAACAAGCTCATGAACATTATTCATTCCACCCCACTTTGGCACCACTGCACAGAAAAATCCAAAACATCAATATGAACTTTTGACACCTGAGATCTTGGGCTACCTGATATTTTTTATAGGAGGCTTTGCAACGAGCAATGTCACAGAGTGCTTGAACAATTGCAGCTCTGAAACCTTCTGGCTTTGCAGGAGGAACACAGGTTACATGCAGTAAATGTGGTCTCACATACCTTAAGCTAAGCAAGCACTCAGGATAAGCCCTGTTCATTGAATAGCAAAAGTGTTTGAACTAATCACCAAAGGAAACGTGTGAAATGTTTTCAGAGGGATGAAGGAGAGAGAGCAGACAGTGATTCATCAGTACTTAGCAAACAGATGTCAGGGTGACTCTCCAATAAGAGTCAGGTGTGAGATCAGTAACTTATAGATTTTTTTTTTTTTTTTTAACACAGAGTTTTATCCAGACCCTCTGATTTAGTGAGCTATGTCATTATCTTGCAGTCTTGGAGGGTTTATTAGAGGGCAAACCACGTTAAGGCTTAGTGAAAAGGTGCTGAGACTTTGTACTTGCTCTTAGAAAAAGGAAGTGTACAAAAAAGGTTGGACATGTTTTTCTGCATATATCAGGAGTTTGCACCCATGTGTGCTTCAGTTGCAGCATCAAACATTCATATTGACAATGAACAGATTGTGCTTGTCTATGCCTGTTATCACCTCAAAGCTTCTAGGAACTGGCATAATAGCTCTTCTGAAATAGGCAGGGGAAGAAGAAAAGAAAAAAGAAACCAAAAGAATACCATGGACACCAGATTGTTATGTTAACAATGTGCAACTATGGGGAAAATGCTGAATGTACAGCATTTTGTTTTTGGCAAACTGCATATTGATTAGGTGAGAAGAAGGAAATGCCGGAAATACAAGGAAGGAAGGTATGTCAGAAAAGGAAGACACACAAGATTAATCTAAATAATGAGAAGGAAAGATGAATGAAGAAATAGGAGAGGAGAGGGGTGGTAATAAGGAAGTGAGAGAAAAGACAAACAAATGCTGTTACTAGCTACTGCAATCTGGCCAAGCTACAGCATCATTTTAAGTATCTACAATAGCTGCTGCTGAATGCTGAGCTGCTTTGTATTTGCTATTGCTCCAGCCAAGCTACAGCTGAAAGAAAAACAAAATGTACAGAAGGATACATGTGGCAGAGGGAGGCTTCCTAAATAAAAAGGTTAATATTAACCTGTAGCTTCAGAGAAACACAGCACAATGTTGGATTTTATATACGTGTAAAATATAAATGATAAAATATAGAGGATAGAGCATCAAGGACATGATATAAGGAGACACACATGAATTTGCAGTATATAAATCTCAATTAATAAACTGTAAAAGCTACGTTTTGGTGGCTACACATATTCATGTGAATTGCTTAATGGAGCTTGATTTAGGGTGTTAAACTAGAACATGGACTGTTTGAGAAACTGTGGAGTAGGTGAGACATTGCACAAGGAGAACAGACAGGGCACAAGACCCCAAGACTTTTACCCTATTAGACCAGCATCTGAAGCTCACACAGGATAAACAGTGGCATCTCAAGGCTATTAATTTCACTATGAACCAAATACCAGCTGTGGCCATTGCACATCTCTCCTGATGTCCCTGCACTGACTGGCTCCTCACTGGCTCTATCAGGGGCTTTGACACCTGGTTCACATGGAGACACTTAAATTCAGGCATCCTGATCTACAGTCTCTCAGACTCATGCCCAGAAAATTGGTTTCAATGTCTCAGTGTAGGTTTCCACTGATATTGGGAGTTCTAGGACATTTGGCTAGCAGACAGGAGGGTCACAAGTCTCCCACAGAGCTGGTGTTACACCTACCAGTTCTGCCTGGGTACCTTGAGTACTTTGGGCATCTCAAACAACACTGAATTCCTGTGCTTAAATGACTTAGTCAAGCACAAAATGTCATTACTATCTGAATTATTATCTGAATAATTATTATTAATTATTATTGACCATTACTTAAGTAGTATGACCTCTCAGTCTTTTACTTCTCTCACAGTGGCCCTGCAATTTAGTGAAGATTATTTTTGTTGCTAGATGGAGATTGAAAGCTTGTAAAAATAAGACTTACATTCTCCCTCTGCCTTTTGGTTCCTTTTAATCAGATACTTCTGAAGAAACAGAACCAACAAACATAAGGTTGAAAAAGAAAGAAATATGGGCAAATATGGGTTGTCTGAATCCTGACATCACAGGATAAGGCAAATCTTACAGCAATCAACCCGGCACATCCTTCCTGGAACATGATTTTCTTCCTTCTAGATTTAGACTGATTTTTGATTTTATTTTTTTTATACAAAGCACTACACAAGACTCCACTCAATTAAGAAAGTGAAGAACTACTGAGAAAAGAAAGCTGTGCAGCCTGAAGACTACGAAGAACCATAATCCGCTGATTATCATTATTTTGCTTGTAGATGATCTACAGAAAATGGAACTTTGCTCTGAACTGCTTGAGTTCCTTCATTTCAGAGCACTCTTTGCACATGCATTCATAGCATGGATAAGGCACACAAACCTCTGCTCAGGTGTTCCCATCTCTGGTGCACAACCCCAGGCTGTGCCCTTAAGGCAAACAAGGCTCAGATCTGGGTGCATGTTCTGCCCCTAAATGCTTTGCTCTCCTTTAGAAGAAAGGCAAAGCACAGAGATAACCAGGTTGCTTAAATATGTACCACATCCCATGGATCTGGTGGACAGCTTTTGATAGATGTTCACAGCAAAAAGTTGTTTTCCAAATGTTTAAAATACCTGTATATATTAATGGTGTACATAAATAAAAACATACAGTATTGACTCTGTTGAGATGGGTTCCCTTTTCAGTGATGCAAAAAGAGAAAAAAAAATTGAAAAGCTTTTTTGGATCTGCTCATGTATTCATAAACAAAATAGGCATCACTAAATTGTAGCACTAAATATAAACACTGTGTGTCCTAAATTATAGCAATCTGCTTCTTGATTGGATAAAAGGATACAGTTTGTTAATCTAGAAGGTCCAGGTAACTTCAATGGTTAGCATTTTTAAACTAGTAATTAGTTAAGTGCAGTGTCAAGGTGTTCTGCTATCAAGTATTTTAGAAGTTTGCATAGAAAATAGAAAAGTTAGGCACAAGAATAAACTATGATAAAATAGTGATAATAACTAGATCAGTTATATAATCACTAAAATAATATTGTATTGGTTCAGAAAGAAAAACACAAAGCAAATACAACATATTAAAGCTTATTTGAAGCCTTTCTAAGAGGAAATCTTCTATGTGAATTGGCAATCTTGTTCTACCTTGTCAAGGTGATTATGAATATGAAAGGGATGAGGAAACACTAACAAGGCATTACTTACTCTGTGAGAATACACTGAATATAACATAACAGCTCTGCAGAATATCAAAAGCATATCAGGTTTGCTTCTTCATACATTATGAAGCAAATCTATGGCTTTTTTTGCTATAGTTTTAATGTCTAAACACAGTTTTAAAAAATGGGCAAACTGGGCCCTCTCATCTCAGTCTAATCTTAGAGTCTAAAATAACCCAACACCTTATCAAAATTTAATATTGTTTAAACTCTATGCAATACTTTCCACTCATCAACAAAGCAGTAAGTAGTTTAAACATATATAATATGACAGCTGTTTACCAGTGCACAGTAACCTCAGAAAGAAAAGGCAGGTAATTTTGTGCAATTCAGTCAAAAAGGAAAATTCCCAGTGCACTAATATTTGTAATAGAAGTTTCCACATTGAGGAAACAAAGCACATTTATCATTTTACCCTTTTAAATGTACTAAAACACTTATAGTTAAAACTTCAGATAAATTGCAGTCACCCTGTCCATGTCCAAATACCTTCACCAAATCACTTCAATGGCATAACAAAGTGCCATGAAAGAAGCAATGGCAGAGAAACAAAGCCTGGTCAGGGCTGGCTGATACATCCAGGAGGTACAATATGATGAAAAGAGACAGACTAGCTGTCACCATCCCTGAGAGTATTTAAAAGACTTGTACATGTGGTATTCAGAGATGTGGTTTGGTGGTGACCTGGCAGTGCTGGGTTTATGACTCAGTGATAATCTCAGATGTCTTTCCCAACCCAAATGATTCTATGACACCTAAGTTAAAAACCTCTGCTCTTTAGCACTGTCACAGCCATGATACGTCTGGATTTGGAGGTAGAAAAGTCTAGTCTGAAGGTTTCTATCTTACAGCTCACTGAATCATGAAGACAGAGTTTCTACATCAGTCAAATAACCAGCACCAATTTCTGGCAACATCCATAGCTCCCATGCTGCCTCTGTGGCAGCAACCAAAACCAGTCTAGCTTAATTTATAAGCAGGAACTTGAAATAGCTTAAGACGGTCTGACTGTAAGTCCATATTGATGGAACACTCTAAGCAGGAAGATTAACTTGGATCAATACATATTTTCATGGAAAATTTTCACTGCCTATCGTGTCAGTTAAGTGCTGGTTTTTTTCAGGATGTAAAAGAGCACAGGAGGCTTGCACTGCACCACTTCAACTTTCATGGTGACTTCTTTAGAACTTCTTCACAAGCCTGATCCCAAGCCACATGAAAGTCAGCAAACTGCTGCTGCTGCCCCAAAAGGCTTTTGACCAGCACCATATTTACTCAGGAGAATTAATACTGCTAAGTTGCTGTAATCCTCTCCTGAGTGGAAAAGTATTGCAGAAAGAGCCACTACATAAACAAAAAGAGACAAACCCCACTGAAGCAAATATGCAGGGACTGATGGGCTCAGTTAAATTACCATATCCTTCCAAAGAATCTTCACTCTAAATCTGGCTATGACATTTACTTAACGTGTTACCTGTCATTTCTCCATTCCTAAAGGAGGAATACTACTTACTCAAGACTCTTTTAGGGAAAATTAATGTTTTCAGGGCACCTTAAAAATTAAACCAGCTATATATGTCTGCCAAGCTATCCAGCTGGATTGTGGGCACGCTGATTGAGAGCATTTTGGTTGCTGTGGACTGTGCATATATTCTCAGTTTCATTTTTGTTTCATTGGTTGCCTAATGAAATATGTGTCCATACATTACCAATGTAATCTATGAGATATATATATTATATATATATATGTATGTTTGCATAGCAAAAATATGTTATTTTTATTTCAAGCTCAAAAGGCGGCTGCTTACAGGAAAGAGCAGATTCTGGGAATATAAACATCAGTTCCTTTTTTTATAATTATTTTTATTTTTGTGTGTTTAGAGAAGCCTTGCAGAGAGAAGCCAGTTAGCAAGTTTATCCACTGAAGCCTAAAGGGGCTCCTTCAGTACAGCTGAGTATTTGATAAACAGATTATCTGGCTCTGCCTACAGACTGCTGGTGTTACTGCTGGATGGACAAGAGACCAACTTGTCTTGGTCAGAAGGAGAAGAGACTTCTACTGAATAGCTACAGATGCCATTCTTGTACAGACAGTATATTCCAGCACTGACAATCACTCTGGCTATGGAATTTGGTGAGACATCACAGCTGCAGCAGCAGTGTTATGTGGCACAGTTGTGTATTTTTGTAACATATATGCAAATTACAAGGAGATAAACAGGGTCTGATAAGACAACAGGACATGCACCCAGCCCATAGTTGTAGCCACAGCTTCCAGTACACACAGAAACCACTCCACACTGTTTACCTGCCTTCTGCAGCTTTCACACCACTGTGCAAAGAACACTTGGGAGTGTATGCAGAACCAAAAAGCCAAGGTGCAAAGGGAAGTGTACATACATGGTACCACGGTGTGGGAGCGGTTCTTCGGCACGTTCTCCTCCTGCTGTGCCACGCTGCTCTCGTTGGGCTCAGCCTGGTAAGCACACAGAGCTTCCCACTCCTTCTCCAGACGGTTCTTGTTCTTCAGGTGATCTTCCATGTAGGACTGGAATGAAAAGAATACCGCATTAAGCAATGGCTTAGCTAGGCTGCAAGCTAAGCTTAAAGGATGTTTCTCAAAGCGTGGGAATCCTGAGCTTTGGGGAAAAAAAACTGGCTCAGTTTTAAGGTTCATTTATTTACTTAATAGAGAGTTGACTTCAAGCTTATTTCTGCTATAAAAAATGAGAATGATAAAATGTACCAGTGCTAACAGAGAGGAAATTTATGAAACATCCATTCACTGAGCTTTAGGAGAAAATTGTTTCTTCTTCAGTACCTAGAAAACATAAGCCCAAATGTCTTTTTCATCAGGCAATGGAAAAGAAACAAAATTCCATTAACAAAAATTACTACAAACAACAACTTCTGTCAAAAGAAAGGATTTTACAACCAAATTTCAAGCACATATGCATGTCACAACAGTGATAGAAATATTGAAAAGAATAAAAAAAATTGCCAGGCTGAACTATTGTGGCCAAGCACTGGGCCATCAGAAACTCATCTTGCAGATGAACAGGCACAGAGAGGGCCTTCAGCTGAGGAGGTGTTGTTAATTAATATTAATAGTTGTTGTTAGGGATTGTACATTGCATTCAGTTAACAGTATTGGGAAAAGCATCACCAAAGAAATCTGTGGCAGGATTATGGCCCTCAAAGTATCTTGGTGCTGATCTTAAGCTTTTGCAGATCTCCCCTGGCTAGAGCTCCAGCAGTGGATAGGAATTCAGCTCCAAAGATTTGAGAAAAGGGAACCAAAACCCTTTTCCTTCACCCTATGGATCAGAAATAATCCAAGTAGGTGAGGGGAGGAGAGCAGAAAGGAGGAGGAGTGGGGAAACCCAGAAATCTTCCTTTCCCTTTAACATGAAAATTAAGATAGTGACCTCCTGGTACTTTAAGCCTGCTTATACAGGCTCATTACCTTACAGAGCCTTCCATCTTCTACAGCAAGCAAGAAACATCTTACTTTAGACCATGTTCATATTTGTAAATTAAACTCCATATTGCCTGTACTAGGTAGGTTGAAATCAACATTCCTAAACAGAATTAAAAAGGACAGACTGTTCAGGAGACAGGCTCAGGGTGGGGTCAATAGCAAAACTTCTTGCCCAAATATTAGGTATTGCTGGAACTAACACAGCCCAATCTATAGCAAATCTTGTCTAGAAAAAGATCCCAGAAAGGATTCACTGCAAAGTACAAAACGGACTTTAATTGCTTCGAAAACCCTTTCCATTGCCAATCTTTCTGATGCTGAATTGTTCTTCCTAAATGTGCTTTAAAGAAGAAAAGCTCTTGTGCCCTCTCTACAGGTTTAACAGAAGGTGTAAAAAGCTTGCAGCTTGTCCGCTGCCAAACAGGAGCTCTGCAAATCTGTTGTGCCACTGTGCTTCCCACCTGGCTGGCAGGGCAGGATACAGCTCCCTGTTTCAGCTTGAACAGTTTTTTGATGACAAAGAGCCCCTGACACACAGCTTTGTTTGGTGCAGGGTTTGTCGGGTGCTGTCTTTACACGAGGTTTGTAAATCAAACCTGGTACTGAAACACCAATTCAAGAAGCGACGCTTCAGAAGGGATGTCTTTAAGGACACAGAAAGGTATTGCATTAGAAGAAAGATTTCTAAAGGAGGTAAAAAATAGTGGTGGCCTAGATACAATCAAAACACCTACTGTGTGATTGCTTTTCCTCTATAATGAAGGAAGAAGCATTGCAGTGGACAGAGCTGTGACCTGACAGACGTGGAGCTGCGAGTGTGGCGTGGCCCCGGTGTGTGTCAGGGTGTGGGTCTGGGAACACGTTCCCAGCATTAACTTGCAAGTTAACAGGAGGAAACCATCCTCTAATAGTTTATTTATCCTTGTCAAAAGGCTGTTGCTACTGGCAAAGGAGGGAGGCTAAAGATCCTATTCTTTTCTCCTAGCAATTCTGTGCCTGGCTATGTATACTGAAGTCATAGGGGAAAAGAAAAAAAAAAAAAAAAAGAATAATCCCTCCAGAGCAGAGACTTGCTGGTATATAAGAATTTTTATGAGGCAAAGGGAAAAAATAGCAAAATCTTACAATACCACAGAGCCAAGACTGCTGGCTTCAGAGCAGCTGTTTAGCATGCAGCAGAGATCAGGCAGTCAAGGACCAGCCTGTAGCATCTTCCCATTTTAAACCACAGTTTTATAATCTGATTCATTTTGACATGCCCATCACCAATGTCCCACAGACTTCAGGGACATTTTATGCAGATATACAGATCTGCCAACACTGAATCTCTCCAAAATCCTGGTAGACCCACAAAGGAAAGGAAAAGGGCCATGAACATTTCATTCCTAAGGCAGAACTGAATGTAGTAAGGAGCTATCTGTTGACTCCAGCTTGTCTCGCTGATGATTTCAAGGATTGTATTTTAAAAAGAAATTTAATTTCCTTTTAAAATCATCAAATCTGTCACAGTTAAGGTAAAGTTTACAGTTAAGGTAAATTGACTGCTTTTATTGCACATGAACTTTCAAATAACTCAATGTTCTTTAAAAGTTATTACTTTTACCTTCATTTTTTCAGGTAATCTTGAGTGTAAAGATACAAGAATTTTCAAATGGAAACACATGGAAATCTTTACTTTAGCCAACCATTTCTTGTGTGGTTTCAATTCCTACAGGGCACTTGTCTGACAGACCTTGAGGAGGGGTTTGACTATTTGAATGGACCTGTGGAAGACTCTGCCCAATATGGACATCTGCTTTACACACTTTTTTTAAAAGCTGCTGAGGAAGAAGCTTGCTTTAAAACATTCAGGAGCCAGACAATTCCCTCAGAGTTAAGTAATCTTTCATTTACAGTCCTTCAGAGCCCCAACACTCATCCCCACTTTGCTAAACAGAAGCTTAGTGATTTTGAAACATTCCCTTGGGAGCTGCTAGATGTACATTAAATTGAGTGGAACTTCTGATATTTTAGAGATTGTATGTCTACTCAAATCCACTCCTTAATTAGGATGTTTTGATGAGACATTCTGCAATGTTTGCCTGGTGCAAAAGAAATTCATTACCAACGTGTCAAACACGCACGTGATTGTCCTTGTCCCAGAGTAGCAGGTAAAATAAATAGAGGTTGTCACCACTGTTATTGCAATGCTCCTCAAGCCTGCTGAAAAAAGCAGAGGTCTAGCCTCACCAATATGGGCACAACAAGGCAAATCCTGTAATCCCAAGTATATGCTATTATTTAAACAAACACCATCTGCTTGCACAGGTCTTCTGATGCACCTTAAATTCCATTAACCTTAATTTTCCTTCCACAGGGCCTGACCTGTGAGGACAATTGGTAGCCCAGTCCCTACTTTCTCTCGTTCAGACAGAGGAGACACTCTTGCTGCCAAAGATGCTGTGGGGATCAGGAGGATGTGCTGACGTAATGAGGACAGAGTGGATGCATTATAAAATCCATTATTACTGTGTGAGACCTGCCAGTTGTAAGGCAAAAAGGGAGCTTTCAGCAAGAGGATGAAAAGCTGTCCCAGGTACAATGAATGGGCTGAAGAGACACTGCCAGTGGCACATATTAAGACAGATTTTATGTGCCTGAACACAGGCACAAAGACAGAGCACAGTGGGCTGGTTTGGCTTTGGTGGAACATGGCTTTGTTAGAGCTTCCTGTGTGCTCAGCTGATGTTGTAATAGGGTGTCAAACTACTTTGGTTTTCCTTATTTTTTCTCTACTCTTTTATCAAGAAGGGTGTCCAACACACGCCCTGTGACTAAATAAGGTTAAAAATAAAACTATTACATTCTAATTGACTGGTCAATCTTTAAATCATAGAATCACTTAGGTTGGAAAAGTCTCTCAGATCATCAAGTCCAACTGCCAAGTCCACCACTAAGCCATGTTCATCAGTACCACATCTATATGTCTTTTAAATACCTCCAGAGATAGTGGTGACCCCACCACTGCCCTAGGTAGCCTGTTCCAGTGCTTGCCAGGCCTTTTGGTGAGGAAATTTTCCTTAATATCCAATCTAAACCTCCTCTGGCACAACTTGAGGCCACTTCCTCTTCTCCTATCACTTTTTACTTGGTTGAAGAGACACAGTACTTTCTTCCGAGATAGTATGGTTTGCATCTGTGAAGATATTTGTTTTAAAAATTCCTATTTTATTAGCTGACATTCAATTGCCACAATTATTTCTGACAACATACTCCCAATACAGTACTTGAGTAGAAACCCTTCCCATGATTGAGGATGCATCTTTCAGTGAAAACAGGAGCAGCTCTCAAAGTGACAGACCTTGACAGGTCTAATCAAATTTCAAATGTCAGCTGAAGATGTGGATGTGAAATTATCTTAATCCTTGTGAATGGTGACTGCTCAAACCCACACTGTTCACCCAAAAGTGTGGGAACCACTGTTTCAAACTGCTGCTGCTTTTTCCAGAGACGTAGAGGGCCAGGCAGTGCTGTTGGGCTTCCCAGGCTTCCTCAGAAGGAAGAGAGGAAATTCTAGAGGAATTTGTTTTAGCTATTATATAGCAAATTGTGCAGAAAAAGACTATACTTGAAAACATTTGTTTTGTGTTGTCAGTAATTTAAATAATGTGGTTTTTTGCCTTTGTTCCCTACTAACTCATGGGTTGTATCACTCTGGCCCAGGATGCCCCAGAATTCTTGCTACTCTGCTTGAACTTCTTTGTGTTCTTTAGTACACATTGCATTGACTACATGTAAGAGGAATACTTTTCTGCATAAATCCAATTTGCTTTTAACAACACATATGGTTTTGTCCTTCTATTTTCTGGCTTAATACCTTATCATTAGTGGCTTCACAGTAAATTTCTCTGTTCCTACTCATATTACTCACAGTGCCATAGAATTCAGAGACAGAAGCAGCCTATCTGATTACTTGCTTCCAGGTCTTCAAATAATGTAATTTCTTGTACCTCACTAGGATTTTTCTAACATTTGGCTGTTCTGTATCTAAAGCAGAAGCCTAAAGCACAGTTCATTACTACTTCTTG